AGGCCTGCACCCGGGGCTTCCGCGGCGGAGGCGGCTGCGCGGTGCTCGGCAGGAAGCTGCGGCGCCCGGAAGAGCCCGAGCCGCAGCCGCCGCCGCTGCCACCAACACGTTGCACGGAGTCATTCGACGGGCCGCGGCCCCACGTGGGCGGAGCAGGCCACCCGGGCCCCGGTGCGGGCTGCGCCCCGCTCACCGGCGGCTTCAATCACCCCCGCCAACCCCACCCCGGGGAGCCCGGGACCCCTGCGTGGAAACAATCACGGTCAGGCTCACTATTGAGCCGGCTCTGTGCTTCGGAGTTTACGTTTTATTTATTTCATTGAATCCTAAAGCCCCTTTAGGAGGCAGGTAATTCTTTATCCTCATTTAATTGTTGATTTAGGATCCAGAGAGCCAGCTCACAGTAACCCAGATTCTGTCAGACTAAGAACCAAAGCCTATGGGACGTAGAGGTAAACCCCCATTTTACAGATGAGGAAACAGACCTCCAGAGTGAAGGGTTTGCCCCATGCCCTATGCATTGCAGTATATTTTAGTATCTCCCCAATTTCCCTCTGTGTCTCGTTTCTTATGTTACCAGTTTTCAGACATTTTGCACCTCTGCTTATGAACTGGATTGGGAAGTGCGTTCCTGCCTTGAAAACTTTGCTGTGGAACAGTAGTTGGGGGCATTGGCAGGCTTCCTCCAAGACCAAAGTTTTAGGCTCCAAAAGTAATTGGCTGCCTCTGGTTTGGAAGCTACATGATGCGGAAGTGGAGAAAGATCATTGTGGAGGGTCCAGTGTGAAGCCCAAAGGTGGGAACTGAGGGCTTTCCTGGAGCATTAGAAACTACACTGAGGACTTGCCACCTTTCACTTTGAGGACCGAACGTGGCAGTAAACTCTCTAATGGCAGTTGAACAGGTAAGGACACAGGACAAGGATTCACTGACCTTAAACAGCTCTCTCCTGGTCCTGCTAGAGAAAGAGACAGATAAAGGTAATACAGTGTATCAGTTAGCTGTTGCTACCTAACAAATTACCTCAAAACTTTGAGGCTTAAAACAGCACACATGTATTATCTCACAGTCTGTGTAGGCTAGGAATCTGAGCATAGCTTAACAGAGACCTCTGTTTTAGGATCTCTCAGGGGTATATGCAGGTTAGCAGGTGCTGGGGTCTTATCTGAAGGCTCAAGTGGAGAGGGACGTTCTTCCAAGCTCCATCAGTGGTTGTTGGCCAGAAGCAACTCTTCACAGACTGTTGGACTGACAGCCTCAGTTCCCTACTGATGATGGCCTGAGGCTGCCCTCAGTTCCTTACCATGTGGGCCCTTCCAGTATGGAGCTTGCTTCACCAAAATGTACAAGCTTGGAAGCCAATGGGAGTCTACTACCAAGGCAGAAGTCACTATCTTATGAAACCTTATCATAGAAGCAACATCCCAGCACCTTTGCTGTATTCTGTTGGTTACAGGCAAGTTACCAATCTTGTCCACACTCAGGAGGAAGAGATTACACAGGGGTGTGAAAGTCAGGAAGCAGGGATTATCGAGGCCATCCATGAAGATGCCTGCCACTGTATGTGATACATTTTGATTCAGTGGGATGAACGGTAATCAGGTTATCACCCAGCAAATACTATTTGAAATGTATGTTGAGTATTTTGGCGTGCCCCAGTGGTGATAAATTTGGACAGATCACATGATTCAGGTCTCTTCCATCTCTAAAATGCCACGTTATGGCATGTCAGAAATGTTGCTTTGGTAGAAAGCCAACATTATCATATCAGCATGACAGAATTTATAAAAAGAAGTTCCTTAAAGAGCTTACTCTGACACCCATGACCTTACCGCACAGCGTTCAAGGGCATAAACCTTAGACATCACAGGTTCATATTTTTGTCCTTATCCGAAATTCCTGTGTAGTGGAGCAGAGAGGTCCTGAGCTCTGGAGTCTCTCAGCCAGGATGAGAGGTTTAAGCACGGAGTGGCCTCGGTCAAGGTGTTTAACCATCAAATCCAAGTTATTTTTAATGTCTACAATAAAGACAATAATACTTACCTCAGTAAGGTCACTGGAAGTATCCATAAGAAAGGAGAAAATATTAGTACCTTATCCTTCTTTTACTATAATTCCTGGACCTGTGTAGACTTATTTTGATTATTTAACATTGACTTACCACCAAGGATGTAAAAAGTATAAATGTTAGATATTTTGAGTAAAGTGAAACTTTAGAATCTTTCATTCCTCCTATTTGCTGCACAAATCATCATAACAAAGGACCTATTTATAAATTGCCCTAAATTAGAGTTCCTTAAACATTTAGATTAAACCATCCATAGACAGTGACATTTTTAACATGGAACACAGATGACCGGCAACAGAAAACTCTGGCTGATTTCAGAAAAGGGGAGTTTATTGGAAGCATGTTGGGTTGCTTTTGGAATCAACTGGTAACTAGAGCAGAAGTTCTAAAAGTGTGGTCTGTGGACCCCTCAAGTCTCTGAGATCCTTTCAAGGAATTTCACTGATGGAGTGAAGATTAATGCCATAATAATACTAAAATATTTTTTGACTTTTTCACTGAGTTAACATTTGCACTAATATTGCAAAAACAATGGTGATAAAAACCGATGGTGTCTCACTTCCCCAAAGAAGACATCCAGATGGCCAACGGACACACAAAAAGATGCTCATCCTCACTTATCAGGGAAATGCAAATCAAAACTCCAATGAGCTGTCACTTCACACCGGTCAGAATGGCTAAAGTCACCAACACAAGAAATGACAAGCGTTGGTGAGGATGTGGAGAGAGAGGAACCCTTGAGCACTGTTGGTGGGAATTTAGCCACTGTGGAAAATAGTGTGGCGTTTCCTCAAAAAGTTAAAAACAGAATTACCCTACGATTCAGCAATCACACTATTTTTTTTAACCCAAAGAATACAAAAACACTAACTAAAGGGATACATGGACCCGTATGTTTATAGCAGCATTACCTATAACAGCCAAGATATGGAAGCAGCCCAAATGTCCATCAATTGATGAATGGATAAAGAAGATGTGAGAGTGTGTGTGTGTGTATATATATATATATACACACACACACACGAGTGTGTGTATACACACACACACACACACACACAAGAAGATGTGATATATATAAGATGATGTGATATATATATAAAAGAAGATGTGATATATATATATAATATTATAATGGAATGTTTTATATGTATATGATGTGAAATGTTTTCAGCCATTAAAAGGAATGAAATCTTGCCACTTTCAAGGACGTGGATGGAGCTCGAGAGTACAATGCTAAGTGAGATAAGTCAGTCAAAGACAAATACCATATGATTTCACTCATATGTGGAATTTAAGGAACAAAACAAATGAACAAAGGGGAAAAAAAAAGAGACAAACCAAAAAAAACTCTAGGGAACAAACTGATGGTTACCAGAGGGAGGTGGGTGGGGGGTGAGTAAAAAAAATGAGGAAGATTAAGAGTACTTTGATTATGATGAGCGTGGAGTAATGTATGGAATTGTTGAATCACTACATTGTACATATAACACTAATAGAACACTGCACATCAAGTAACTAAAATTAAAAAACTTAAAAAAAAAAAAGACAACTGATGGTGTCTTATCATGTGTCAACACAAACTATACCCATAGTAATTGAATTCTTCACAACCATGCGCGATAGGGGGAAAAAAAAGCTATAGCCATGAAATTATTCAATCTTGACCCTTGGGAACAGAACATTTTAATATTACATGTGATGAAATGGAAAGTATGAATAAGTCACTTCTGCTGCACACTGAAGCATGATGTTTGTCTTAAGAAAAAGCACATGTGCCATTCTTAGAGTTGCAAACTGAACAAGCCACTTTTTTCATGGAATACCATTTCCAATCAAAAGAGTGCTTTTAACCTGGTTTTTGGCAGGCATTTTCTCAAAAATGAACGAGATGAGCCTGTCACTTCACAGATAATAACTGACTGCATTGTAGCCAATGATAAAATTCAAACCTTCGAGTGAAAATTTGAATTCTTAGAAAACTTGTCAATTAGGATGCTCTCTGCAGTGAGCTAGACCGCTTCCCAATCCTTCAAGACTTTTCTGATTAGCTTTCGAATTTAGATGTTATATAATGATATATGTCAACATTTAGAAGCTCTGCATAAATCAGCAAACCAATTTTTCTAAACAGCCAATGTGCAATGTTACAAAATCATGCATGGGGTGGGGGTGGGGGTGGGGGAATCACGTGTGGGTAACAGATCCATTCAAAGTGCAAGGTAAACAAACAGATTTTGAGGAAACAAAGTGCAGCAGTCCATTGTCATGGTTTTAGATTTCACATTGCAACTGATGTTTAAGAACAACTAGGTGTGGGAAGCCTGGGTGGCTCAGTCGGTGGAGAGTCCAACGCTTGGTGTTAGCTCAGGTCATGACCTCGAGGTTGATGAGATCGAGCCCAGCATCAGGCTCTGTGCTGACAGCGTGCAGCCTGCTTGGGTTCTCTCTCCCTCTTTCTGCCCCTGCCCCACTCATGTGCACTCTCTCTCTCTCTCTCTCTCTCTCTTTCTAAGTAAATAAATGTAAGTAAA